TACAAACAATTTAATGACTCCACACAAAACTGAATTAATGTGAATGCACAAAAATGCACTTTTCTCAAAAACTCTCCAAGGCAATTTGCAGTGATGGTCAGCTGTACAAAATGCAAATGGTGTAACGGACTGCACTCATTGCACAATGAAGGGTCAGCTCTTTGGCAAACCTGAGCTTTCTCCATTTGATCTAATAGTAATGTTTGAAACCAACAAGGTCAAGCTTTGCATGCTAGTCAGCGGCTTTCTCACGGCGTTCACTGGATTCTGTCATGACATTTCAACTTGGGCGACCTTGTGTAATAATTTATTAACTCAACACTCTTGGGATGGTTGGTGCACATTCAGCATAAACCATTATAATCACAACCTTCTATCAGAGCAAAACACAGTGACAAATATGCCACCATTTGCATGATGACAGGTGGATGCTATTGTCTAAATTTAACGGATGCTAATAATGTACAGCTTCACAAAAAAGTTAAGTCTGTCATGGTTTTCTTTCCAGCAAACAGGGAGCATTCTCAGAAATTTGGTTAATGTTCTGGCAAGGTTCTTTCAAAGTTATGAACAAATGTTCTTCCAGTAACGTTAATATAATAGTAATTCAAAGCTATGTGATCTTTAATTTTCTCAGAGTGTTCAATAATTTTTTTTTTCTGACATGTTTTAGCTTGACGCTAATTTTTAAAAATGCACTGCTTGTTTTAGAACATTCAGAGAACTTTCAGAATTATCATTCCCATGATGTATGCAAAAAATAATGAAATTATTTATTATCATTCTCTTGGTTATGTTAGTATAACCAAGAAAAAAAAAATGTTTTGAACATTCAAATAACATTCAGAAATAACAATCCAGTAACGTTAATAAAACTTTAGTTATCTGGTATTCTGGTATTTAATGTTCTGAAAATGTTAATTCATGGAACGTGTGTGTGTGTGTGTGTGTGTGTGTGTGTGTGTGTGAAATGTTTGTTGGACATTCGTCTAATGATTTTTTTTAATGTTATTGCTTGTTTCAGAGTTTCAGAAGAACATTCAAAAGTAACAATGTTTGCAAACTAATAAAACTAGACATTTTGAGCGTTTAGAGAACATTTATACAATGAAATGTTCCCTTAACATTCTTATAACCAAGACATTTTTTTTTTTTTAATTGACATTTTGAACGTTCAGAGAATCTGGTATTCTGGTATTTAATGTTCTGAAAATGTTAATTCATGGAACGTGTGTGTGTGTGTGTGTGTGTGTGTGTGTGTGTGTGTGAAATGTTTGTTGGACATTCGTCTAATGATTTTTTTTAATGTTATTGCTTGTTTCAGAAAGTTCACAGAACATTCAAAAGTAACAATGTTTGCAAACTAATAAAACTAGACATTTTGAGCGTTTAGAGAACATTTATACAATGAAATGTTCCCTTAACATTCTTATAACCAAGACATTTTTTTTTTTTTAATTGACATTTTGAACGTTCAGAGAACATTTGGAAATAACTTTTTCATAACTTAATTGGAACATTAACAAAAAGTTATTAGAACATATTTGTGGTTAACTGGATCAGTTCATACAGTCTGACAAGCAGCATTCATAAAAGATGAAGAAATCATACAATGTGCACTTTCCCCTACTATATATAGACCTACATTATGTCAACAGTCATGAAAACTGCAGTCATGCAGCTGGTTAACACAGTTAGGGGTCATGTGGGTTAGTCAATGTCGGACAGGCCAAGGGTAAGTGAACAGGAGCACCATTAAAGGCAATGAAAGAGGTGTCAACAGTTTATTCATTTCAGACCAACCACAAATGCTTTTTTAAAGATGCTTTCAAATACTCAGAGATGTTGCTAATCTGTGTGCGTACAAAGAAAATATCTATTTAGTAGATGGTAACCATTTTGCCACGCTCTTTTTCTAAATTAGTCTGGATTCAACTTTTGGAATCAATTCCAAAACATGGCATCAAAGTAAAAAATTCTTAAAAGGAAGAAGAAGAAGAAGAAGAAGGAGCATTTATGAAAAAAATAAAATAAAATTAATGTGAGCTTACACAGTTTGTACTAGTTCCATCAATAATCTTTTCATTTATTTTCATTTCATGTCTTAATGTCGCACTTCAGCAGTATGTTTGGAGTGTTTTGTTCATCTTGGTAACTGTATGGTGTTGAATTAGATGCATTGGCAGGTGCAGTAATTTGCTGCCACTCCACATCCTCTGTGTTATGAGTAACACTGGTGGAGAACAGCACTAAGTTTCTCTTCTAAGCCTTTACTTCTTTAAGGACAATTTCAACTACCTGATATATGAGGTTATTTCTCAGTTAGCAAACCTTTTTTTCCAAGCAAGCAACTGATCGGACATTTACTACAGGGAAAATCCCTATAGAGCAACCTGAGCTCTACGCTTTATTACTGTCAGACTCTGTTCCTTGTTTTGTGTGTGTTTTGCTCCCCATGTGCCTTCCTTGCCCTTATTTGGTCCTTCCGGTTCCTGTCCCCATTTAGTTCTATTTGTTCCTGGTCTTCCTTGTTATTAGTTATCCTCCTCACCTGTCTGCCCCTCGTTATCTGCCCTATTTGAGTCCTAGCCCATTCTGTTCTCCCTTCACTCCTCGTCTCCGAGCTCCTTCTTCTCCGAGCTCCTCGCAGTAGTGCACCATGACAGAATTCCGGACCAAAACAGAAAAGTAAGCAGCGCCCCTTCTCCCAAGTTTTTGTTTTATAATTATTTTGTTTTCTATTTCTTCTCTCCCTGCCAACATGGAGGAACGAGCGACGTTCTTCGCCGTGGCTCAGGCGAGCCACGACCCGCTCACCTACGCAAGGGCATTCGTGCCACTCACCCTCGCCGGCTCCCTGGATGGTGAGACCCTGGTGATGCTGTTCTGGCTCGGGATCACATATCATCGCTCCGCAGAACTCCCAGACACCACCAACCTCGACTGGAAGGAGGGGGACATCCGGTGTCTGGAGCACCTCCGCGGGCCGCTCCAAAGTCAAGCCTGCCGGCCGCAGCATTCTCAAGCCCGCCGGCCGCTCGTAAGTCAAGTCCGCCAGCCGCGGCTCACTCAAGCCTATCACCCCGAACCTAAAGGGTAGAGAGCACGCTCCAGTGTCGGCTCCAGCCCCAGAGCTCGCTCCCGTGTCGGCTCCAAGCCCAGAGCTCGCTCCAGTGTCGGCTCCAGGCCCAGAGCTCACTCCCGTGTCGGCTCCAGCCCCAGAGCTCACACCAGTGTCGGGTCCAGCCCCAGAGCTCGCTCTAGTGAGGGCTCTTGTCTCAGAGTCTAGCCCAGTGAGGGCTCTTGTCCCCGAGTTTAGCCCACGGCAGGCTCCTGTTCCCGAGTTTAGCCCACGGTGGGGTAGTAGTTTGTGGGGGGGTAGTAGGGCTTCAGCCGTAGAGGCGGGAGCGGGACCGCGGCCTTGGAGGCTGCTCTGCCATGGCCTCCTGGACTGTCAGATCGGCCAGCCATGGCCTCCTGAGTTCCCTACTCCGCCATGGCCTCCTGGACTGTCTGCTCCGCCATGGCTCCCTGAGCAGCCTGATCTGCCGTGGCACCCCGAACGGGTATCGCTGGGCCCGCCGTCCCGTGTCTGTCCTGAGGGACCTCCAGAGTGCCCATCCTGGAAGGCGAGGACACGCCTTCCGGGAGGGGGGAGCAATGTCAGACTCTGTTCCTTGTTTTGTGTGTTTTACTCCCCATGTGCCTTCCTTGCCCTTATTTGGTCCTTCGGGTTCCTGTCCCCACTTAGTTCTATTTGTTCCAGGTGTTCCTTGTTATTAGTTATCCTCCTCACCTGTCTGCCCCTCGTTATCTGCTCTAGTTGAGTCCTAGCCCGTTCTGTTCTCCCTTGACCGGAATTGTATATGTCTACCCTTGCTATGTGTGTTTTCCTTGTTCCGTGGATGTGATTAAAACCTATATGTTTGAATTTCACTCCTCGTCTCCGAGCTCCTCACAGTAGCGCACTGTGACAATTACCAGCTATTTATAACACACACACACACACACACACACACATATATATATATGCCGTTCAAAAGTTTGGGGTTGGTAAGTTTTGTTTTTTTCCCCCTCCCTTCTGCTCAACAAGGCTGCATTTACTTGATTAAAAATATAGCAAAATAACACATAATATCTTGAAATATGATTACAATTTATATTATTCTATTGTATTATATTGTAAAATGTTATTTATTCCTGTGAAGCAAAGCTGAATTTTCAGCATCATTACTCCAATCTTCAGTGTCAGATGATCCTTAAGAAATCATTCTAATATGCTGATTTGCTGCTCAAGAAACATTTGTTATTATTATCAATGATGAAAACACATTCACATTTTTGCGGAAACCGTGATATATTATTTGTTTTAGGATTCTTTGGTGGATAGAAAGTTCAAAAGAACAGCATTTATTTAAAATAGAAATATTTTGTAATATTACAAATGTCTTTATTGTCATTTTGATTAATTTTATGCATTCCCGCTGAATAGGTATTACTTTCTTTCAAAACAAAAAAAAATCTTACTGACCTCAAACATTTGAACAGTAATAATTTTTTGGACTGAAATGGAACTAGCTCAATACACATCCTACATAAATTCAACAATTAGCCAAACATTCAAATTTTGTCATCATTTACTCACTCTCATAGTTTTATGAAGCGCTTGTGTCTTTTTGTTCAAGCTTGAAAACTTCAGTCCCCATATGCATTGCAATTGCATGAAAAAGAGTGACGTAAATTAAAGAAAGTCAAATGGGTTTGGAACTACATAAGGGTAAGTAAATTATGACAAACTCTTCATTTTTAAGTGAATTATCCGTTTAAGGAGAGGATGGACCAAACAGCTTCCTTAATTCCACAGATATACAGCACAAAACTACTCAGAAAACAAGAGGAAGTACACAAGAGGATGAAGGAGATGAGGGAAGATGGGAAGAAGGCTGGAAGCCACAAGACAAATGACGAAGGTAAAGTGAGAGGAGGGTTGGACGGCTTACGCTGTGTTGCATCGTCCTCCAGACAATCCTCTGGGATGCGGAAGCAAAAAACAGAGGAAAAAGGGATTTCATTGAAAGTCGAGATGAGAAAGAGAGAACGCATACCATGGGCAAACACATGATAAATATGCATTAGACAGAAAAGCAATATGCACAATTACATTTGATGAATGGTATTGCTGGATATTCCATCCCATTCCCCTCTGGAGAAAAAAAAAAAGCACATCCACTTTACACACAAACACTTCTCTCTAACTTAATATTTATTTAACCATCACGTCTCTCCATTATAAAATGTGAGAGTTAACTTAGAATTCATCCAATTCATAGCTGAGTGGAAAAAAATCACTAGCCCATAATGGATAGAAAGTCATTTTAAATGAATTCTCCCAGTTAGCTGGAGGCTAAAATTAGATTATGCACAGATGCAATCTAGTTCTACTTTTAAGTCAAATTCATATTTCCATCTATTCTTGTTAAGTATTTTGAGTCAGAACAGTCTATTCCAGTAGAGGAACTTAAGTACACATAGACACTACTTAATTATAAGCCTAAACAAAGAAAGAGAGAAAATAAAATGTTAACGGGCATAGATCATCAATGGATTTTTTATATATATTTGTTTTACTACTTGTTTGTGAAAACATTAAGGGAAAAGTAACATTCCCATAATGTTTGCAAAATAATAAAATAGAAGGTTCCCTTAATGTTTATATAAGCAAGAAAAAAGTTTCCTTAATGTTCGTATAACTAAGAAAAAAGTTTTAAAAACATTTAAAATTACATCTTGGTCTACTTTTAAGTCAAATTCATATTTTCATCGTTTCTTGTTAAGTATTTTGAGTAGCTCAAGTACACTTAGACACAACTTCATCATTAGCATAGAAAAAAAAGTATACATCGTTCATAGAACATTTTAGTTGGATTTTACTACTTGTTTCAGAATGTTCAGAGGACATTCAAAAGTAACTTACCCATAAAGTTTGCAAAATTATAAAATGGAATGTTTCCTTACTGTTTGCATAAAAAAAAATATATATATATATATATATATATATATATATTTTATTTTATTTTATTTTTTTTATTTTTTTTTAAACATTTAACACTGCATCTTGTTCTCCTTTAAGTTAAATTCTTATTCTCTATCCTTGTTAAAGGGGTCATATGACGCTGCTAAAAAGAACATTATTTTGTGTATTTGGTGTAATGCAATGTGTCTATGTGATTTAAGGTTCAAAAAACACATTTTCCACATACTGTACATTATTGTTTCTCCTCTATGCCCCACCTTTCTGAAACGCGTCGATTTTTACAAAGCACATCGTTTTGAAAAGCGAAGTGTGCTCTGATTGGCCATCTATCCAGTACGTTGTGATTGGCCGAATACCTCAAGCGTGTGACGGAAATGTTACGCCCCTTACCATATTGTGATGCCGTGTCCCGGCGCGATGAGACAAAAACATTAAAACCCATTAACACTAGAAAAATTTTCACTAGGTAAATTTTACACGTGGCTGCTTTTCAAATGTACATAACAGATTTAAAATAAAACATTCAAGTCTCCCAGTCATTGACTTTTACTAAAATTATGTAATTTACAATCCAATGTTGTTAAAAATTATTTAGATAAAACCAGATCAAAAAACGGGGCATTTATACCTATAAGCGCCAGCAGGTCAAATTTACCCGCTATATAATGCATATATTTTCGCGCTGTCATTTTCTTGCCGCTTATGTTTTAACATAGTACATTGCAAGGCAACGCCTTTCACTCACTGATTTAGCGGTTATGAGTTTCATAAATAAAATCAAAATGACTAAAAAAGGGCGATTTATGGAAGGTAGGTATTAGAAACACTAAATGCCATGAGTGATGGTAAGTTATGCGTCCTGGGTCGGCTCAGCATCTGACGGCTCATCTGACAGTGATTCAGATATCAGATTTACATGTTTTAGCTTAACGTTACTCTAATTGGTCAAACTTTGGTTTCATTACTACATTTTTGTCTTGCCATATCGTTTATTGTTCGCTACTGTGTTGCTGTTCTAGTCTGGCTGTTTCCTGAAGAAAAAAAAATACTATCTATAGCCTATGATGTAATGAACAAAACCATTTGGATGCCACTCTCTCGTTAATGTTTGCATGACAGTTAGCGGAAGCTAGAGATTAAGGTTTATAAAGTTGTAAATATGGATATTTTTCTTACACAAACACATTGCGTCGCTTCAGAAGGCCTTTATTAACCCCTCGGTGCCGTGTGGACTTCTTTTATAATGGATTAGTCAATTTTTTGGACTTCAAATTTTGGGCTACCATCCACTCCCATTATAAAGCTTGGAAAAGCCAGGATGTTTTTTTTAATATAACTACGATTGTATTCGTCTGAAAGAAGAATGTCATGTACACCTAGGATGGCTTGAAGGTAAATAAATCATGGGGTAATTTTCATTTTTGGGTGAAATATCCTTTTAAGTATTTTGAATAACTCTAAATTATAAAATGGAATGTTCCCTAAAAGTTTTCAGAACGAAGACAAAAAGGCAATATTGTTCTATTTTAAGTCAAAGTAATATTTTCCTGTTTTCTTGTTATGTATTATGAGTCAGAACGCTCTATTCCAGTAGAGTAACTCAATACACCCAGACTACCTCATTATAAGCCTAAAAAACTAAAATAAACAACAATAATAATAATAATAATAATATAATAACAAAGAAAATCTTTACCCAACCTTATTAAGCCTACATTTAGAGCTATTTCTACTTAATTTAACCCTTAAAAATGAATTATTTCTCAATTTTCATCCAATACCACTACTAAAGCTTTTTCCCAGTGGCCGCTGCATTCTCCCGGGTCTGACCTCTAAAGGTCATCATCGCCCACTCGCTTCTTCCCACTGCCCTGCACTGCCCTCCCTGCCGCCCACTCACCAGTCTGTCCAGGCTGGTGCCAGCTGCCGTGGTGGGCCTCTCTTCTGGGCTGTAGGGTCTGAAGCGACTGTTGAACACATCAGAGATCCCGCGGGCAGATCGGCCAACTCCAGCTGGTTTGGGATGCCCACATCCCTGAAATACCTATAATTACCAAAGTGGGAATGCATCAGTCAGTGAAGTTAGGCTATATATATATATATATATATATATATATATATATATATATATATATAAAATTAAATTAAAAATAAGAAATAAATAAGAAGAAATAAGAAAATGAAGAATGAAGTGCGGTGACAAGGATGTATTTTACATTGAATTGTTTAATGCAACAGGCAGTTTAAGCGTTGTGTAAATGTTGAATGCAATGCAAGTCACTTGGATTTACCGAATGCTTAAATGCTTACGTTCATTTTTTCAGTGTTCACAGTTTGAACAACATTTTAAACACTATATCCTAATTTTACAGGATCCCTAAAGCATCAAACTTGCTCTATCCAAGTATGTGAATACCTACAATTTTAACTAGCTTTATTCATGGTTGAATTTTAAAAGATGTCACAACCAGTGGCTGAGGTTAAAATTAAAATAAATTAAAAAGCACAGAAAATGTGTTGGCAAACTATCATATTTTTATATTTGAATTATTTATATATATGTTTTTTAATATTTTCTGTTTTCAATTTAATATTAGATAAAATTTTAGTAATTTTGTTGTGTTTTTGTCATGTTTTATTTATTTACTTATAACCAGCTGAAATACAATTACTTTAAACTTTAAAAAGTTAACATTTATTTAAATTCATGAATATTATTGGGGGTTTTTTCTATGCAGAAATTATACAGGAAAAGAAACTCAAGAAACAGTAAATAAATAAATTAATATGATCAATACATTTTTAATAATGTTTCAAACCAAAAAAAAAAAAAAAACAAGAAAATAAAATCCATTTATGCAAACACATTAATTATAATATTACAAAACATTAAATTTCAGCTAAAGCAGCTCTACAGGAGGCTACTAGTGACATTATTCGGCTACATTTAGTTCAGTGCTGATTCAATTCAGTTCAATAACAGTGTCAATATTGACAATAAAGTTATGAAATGAACTGGATTTCGATATGAAATGCTCTACAGAAGACAATGGTGTCATTATTCAGCTTAAACTCATCTCGTTTTATTTTTATTTTTTCTAATTTAATTTTAAGTTTTCTTCTCATCCAATGGTGTCGGGTGCAGTCAAATTGATAATACATCTACATTTAGGCAAAATACCATTTTGAGTTATTTAATTGCCTAAATTAATGTTAACACTTGAACAACAATGCTGACATCTCATAGCTGCAGTGAATTCTGGGTTTAGTTGACAGTGATGGAACATTTTAATGCCACAGCTGGCTCTTATGGCAGGATGTTTTCTGCGCTCTGATGTCGGATGATCTGTCACTATGATTACCATTCAAAGTCTAAGGCTGACATGTACACACTGATTTTCATGCTCTCCTTGTGCATTTTCAATCAGGTCCTGCTTTCCAGAAGTTTTTAATGTAAAAGCGGAGCGCAGCATTCAAAAGGCACAACACAGGCTGTATTCCTTCATGCTTTTATTTCTTTCATTCTTTCACATTGGAATCTGTGGCTACGTTTTATTTTGTGTCTTGGCCTCTGTGTGGAAGTCCATCAGGGAGACACAGATAATTTTCCTGAATATGAAAGCTCGTCCTGAAAGCTTTGGTACCTGCGGTATGGCTTTACAACATTTTATGAGCAACATGCATTTCCCCTTCAGGAACTCGAGCTGCATCAAAACGCTATGGGAACACCTCCAGCATGACCACGCTCTGAATCACATGTGTAATCAGTTCAATGGATGGGCGAGACGTCACGGGCGGTGTGACGTAGTGACCAGGAAGCATAAACGCATGTGCGGTGAAACCGGCGTTAGCTTTCTGTCATCTAGCAAGCGCTCTGTGTGTGTGTCAGTCTTATTTGGTGTTGTCTGTCCATTATCAGTCTTTATTTTACCAATACGAGTGTAGACAAATATACGGCGAGAGCGGGCAGCATCTCAGGCTGTGTGTTCTTCCCTGCCTGCACTACATTTCGGGTGGGGATACACACAGTTTGTGTGTTGTCTGCTTGGCAGCAAAACACGTAGAGTCAGCTCTCGAGCTAGTAGGGCCATACGCTAGTAGCGGCCGCCATCTCACGTGGCGCATAAGTTGACTGGAGATGCTGGATGTGTTTCTAGCTTTGAAACACTTCCTCCCAGGCCAAAGAGATCACAATGTGTTGGTGTGCACCGACAACACAGCAGTGGTCTTTTATATATGTGGGGGCAGACATCCTGTCGAGGCAGGGGCCAAGGCCCAGGGAATAGATGACTTGGAGAGTCTTTGGCCAGGCTCAGGTGGACTTGTTTGCGACTATTGCACGGTCCCCTCTGGTTCTCTATCGGACTCATCCAGCTCCCTGTGGCCGAGGCACAACTCATAGCTTCCGGTCTCTCAACCGAGGTTGTTGAGACCATCCTCCATCCAGAGCTCCCTCTATGAGTAAACTGTACTTCTTGGTGTGGAGACCGCCAGCTCGACCCAGATAACTGCCCTTTGGTACAGTTCTGGAGTTCCTGCAGGTCTGTTTATCCGCAGGGTTGACCCACTCCACCCTAGAGGTCTTCGTGGCGGCCATTGTGGCCTCACACGCCCCCCTCGGTGGCCATTCAGTGGGAAGACACCCTCTTCTTGCATGTTTCCTCCGCGGTGCGCTGAGGCCAAGGCCTCCGGCCAGAGAAGCTTATGCTCAAGGCTCACCTACTTTAGCCATTCCTGGCTCACTTTTCTTTCGCCTTAGTAGTGCTCTTCCACACTATGCAGGGACTTGCAAGTCTGGCGGCGTGAGCATTCTCGTTCTTGAAGCGTTTCGATGCAGCTCGAGTTCCTGAAGGGGAACGTCTCCAGGTTACGCATGTAACCATGGTTCCCCGAAGGGAACGAGACGCTGTGTCTCAGGGCCATACTTCCAGCATCCCTGCCAGCGCTTGCTTCACTCCTAGAAGCTGACGCCTGTTTCACCGCACGTGCTTTTATGCTTCCTGGTCGCTACGTTACCCCGCCCGAGACATCTCGTCCATCCATTGGACTGATTACACATGTGATTCAGAGCGTGGTCACGCTGGAGGCATTCCCGTAGCGTTTCGACGCATTTTCGATTTCATCATAAGGACCAAATGTCTGTAAAAAACAATTCTACTCCTGCAAACTGTAAAACTATATGTTATGTGTGTGTGTGTGTGTGTGTAAAAGAATATAAAGATCACATTTCTAAAATCCATAAAAAATGTCAATTTCTAAGAAGAGACTGCATATAATAATGTCAAAGTCATGTTCATTATTCTCACTAATTTGATTTAACGGACTAAAAATAATAAAGGATTTTGATTTCCTTCTGGTATGGAAAAACACATTGAATTGCACCAGCTTGAGAAGCTTCAATCCTTGATATCAGTGTGTATGTGAACATGTTTCTGCATCAATGTGTGTGTGTGTGTGAGCAGATGTACCTTGGATGAAACTTGCATGCTGTTGTCCTGCATGGTCATGATGGCCTCTGAGATCTTTACATCTATCGGCTCCATGACGGTCTCGATGTTGAAGGGCCCTTCCAGGACCAAATGTCTGTAAAAAACAATTCTACTCCTGCAAACTGTAAAACTATATTTTATGTGTGTGTGTGTGTGTGTAAAAGAATATAAAGATCACATTTCTAAAATCCATAAAAAATGTCAATTTCTAAGAAGAGACTGCATATAATAATGTCAAAGTCATGTTCATTATTCTCACTAATTTGATTTAACGGACTAAAAATAATAAAGGATTTTGATTTCCTTCTGGTATGGAAAAACACATTGAATTGCACCAGCTTGAGAAGCTTCAATCCTTGATATCAGTGTGTATGTGAACATGTTTCTGCATCAATGTGTGTGTGTGTGTGAGCAGATGTACCTTGGATGAAACTTGCATGCTGTTGTCCTGCATGGTCATGATGGCCTCTGAGATCTTTACATCTATCGGCTCCATGACGGTCTCGATGTTGAAGGGCCCTTCCAGTCTGTCAGCCACCAGCAGCATGGCATCTGTCACAACACGAGACCAGAAACACATTCACATACAAGATCTGAGACCCACGACATACACACACACACGCACGCACACACACACACACACCCACACACACGTTGATGCATGACCCTCTCGCCCATCTACAGCCACAGAAATGTGTAATGTCATGTTTTTGCAGTCAAAAATGTAATATGTGGAATCTTACTGACGATTTTGTAGTATATTTAAAATCAACTTGAAAGCAATTTTATGAAAGCAATTATGAAACACAATATGCATAAAATATATATAAAAATTTACCTTTCTTTGGAATAACATGCACTGATTATCCACAATAATCAATTTAAGAAAGTAAATTAAATCAATTTTAAGGTAATGTTGACTTTGAATTAGTGTTATCATTTACTCATATTTACTCAATATTATTTAGTTACCAAAGCAACTATCTATCTATCTATCTATCTATCTATCTATCTATCTATCTATATTTTTTTTTATTATTTGCTTTTTTTTCACAAACAATTGCATCCTTGGTGAGCAGAAGATACCTTTTCAAAAACAATCTTACCTACCCCATAATTATATATATTTACAGAAAATGAAAACTGAAAATCATAAAATCAAAGGTGATTAAGGTAGTCTTTAAGGTAGTCACACAAGCCAGTGATCCATATTTGGGTGAAAATAACAACAACAAAAAAGTTATTGTTTTTATGCTAATGTTTTTAGCGTAATGTTATGCTAATTACAAAATAAAACTATTTTTCGTCATACACATTGCTTTGATAAAACAAAATGCTTCTCGTGGAAAAGGATTTTGCTGTTGTAATGCCTCTCATGCTTTTTTGTCCTTAATGGCCGAGTAAATATTATTAATTTTATCTGCCAAATGCTGAAACTTCCTGCGGCATTAATCTGCCATTAATCTCACATTTTATAATCATTTAAAGCAAAGAGCAACAGCAAAGTGATTTATTTTTCTACCGATGGAAAAAACCTGCCCACCACCATCAAGGTTATTATTTTTTTTTCCTTCTGGCAAAAATAAAATGTTCAGGGTAAAGATAAAAATAAGGATAAGAGATGGGGTCGAGGGAGGCTAGGGCTCTATCAAGGGATTTCACGGACAGGAAGCGTTAAGTACACGGGGCGAACCTCTCGGCATGAACTGTGGCGCAGAAATGATGGGTCGCCGGCATGGACTCAGAATTGATGGCTTTCATTTGCTGGGAATCATGGGTTGAACAGCCAAGCAAAGCTCCATCAATGTTTGTACAAAGTGTTTAGTTGGGGAAGATCAAGCTGTTCTGTTTTCACAAGTAAGTGAATTTCGAATTCTTAAACGGACAGTTCATAAATTCCAAACAGGCTATTTCAATAAATTGACAGAAAAGCAATAAACTTCTGCTTTATGAGTCCGAATATATTTTACACAGTAATTAGAATAAAGCTAAAAATTGGTTAAAGTGACCAAAAGATTAGGCCAGTTTACCCTATAATTCCTATTTTATTATATTTGACACATTAATTTCTAAGGCCTCTAAATGATCAAACTTTCCTGAAAAGCCTGTTGCTCACTATCTACTACATGCCCCTTTGTCATGTGATTGATAGTTTATACTTTTTAGCAAGTAAAACACTTAAAATGGTTTCATGATTTTCTTTTTTTTTTTCTTTTTTTGCTGTCAAATCTTTACTGATTTTTATAAAGTAAACATAAGAACAACTTTAATATTATTAGTAATATTTAAAGATGAATACATTCACTGGACTGAAGCAACTTAGGTTTACTTAATTATCCATAAATCATTTTTTAGAAAAATCATGTTCACATGTATCAAATATGATCCATCACACTTTTAAGGAACATTTATTTCCAGAACCTTTACTTTCACTCTTCTTCAGTGGCGGAATGACCTTCCTAAGCTTTTAAACATCTAAAATCTATTCTTTTGAGCAATGTTTATAATCTGTCAGTCATCATAGTATTGCATTGCATTATATGTTTTAAAACTAAAAGCATTTAAATATCATCTTACGAAGACATTATTGGACAATATAAAGTGACAACTGCTAATTATAAGCATTTTATGCAATGCTGGCTTAAATATCTCAGTGATTTATGTTACAAGCTTTTAGAATTACACTTTTGGCCATATTAATATCAACATCTGAAAGAACCCCCCCCCCCCCCCTCCCCTTTTGGGTTTCTGTTTTTTTTCCATTTTCCCCTTTTTTTTTACAATTTATTTATTTATTCTTTTTTTTGTTATCTTTTTGTGAAATTTAAACCCAAAGATTGATAGTAATATTCATTCATTCATTCATTCATTCAGTATAAAGTCATCCATGATGAGAAAACTTTAGGGTCCATCTTCCCAAGATAAGACAAAACAAGTTCTCTGATATTTTGCAGAATAACAGATTGTTAAACCTGACATGTTCTTGACAAGTTTGGTGATATTCACCTTCTCGTTCTATTTCACTCATATCAGAAAAAGCTGCATGTCTACGGGCCATAAGCAGGTGTCTAATACGACAGAAGATCTCAGCATCTCCAGACGTCTATTCTCTGAGGATTACATGGGGTGCTGAACGTGGGTTTGCTGTTTATTGTCAGTCTGCATATAAAGGAGCATGTGGGAGGCTGCTGGATCCCGGCAGGAATAATTAGTCTCTTAAAATGATGGAGCTGTCTTTATCAACCAAGGACAATTTAGACTTCATCATTAAATAATTACAGAAAGGATCATCAAATACTGTGAACGCTCAGTCGCGTTTACTCACAGGTACTGCTAAATGGAGCAGGAATACAGAATTACAGTGTACGTCTCTACAGAGCGAGTTTAAGTTGGTGAATATTACAACCTGTGAAGTAAACCTCTCCTTTTCTCCCATGATGACCGGCTGTTTACTTATCTCTTCAGTACACAAATAGCATGCATGCTTTCAGAGGATTCAAATACACTTTAAAACCAGGAATCTTTGTTGGGGAAAATGATATGAGTGTTGCTGATGCACGCAACTCTCAAAGCATTGTGTTTTTCCTTTGCAAATTCCGTGAACATATAATTGCAATATAGTTTGCCGAAACTGTCATAGACATTAATGGCTAATTGCCTGGAGGCTGATGGATTTCAGTATGACTTCAGACTCAGACCACAGCGACAGATCATATGCTTATTAATGGTAATAGCCACTTGAATTGATAATAAACATTTATAAACATATATAAATGAGACAGCTGAGAGATCTGCATCTCATCTTCGTTGAAGTTTAAAACATTACTTTCTAAGTACTTTTTATAAAGTACATGAATTGATACTGAATTAATCTAATGCTATATAAACATAATGATAATAATAATGGGATTCCTGCTTCATTTAAAAATTAAAATTAAAATGGGACACCATTTTTTTATACACCTAGAAACAATTTATTTTAGGTGATATGGAGGAAGAAAAAAATATTTTTCCATCAAGAGTGTCATTATCTCACATCTTCAGGCACATAAAAAAACTGTGACAAACCTCTAAAACACAACATGTGCTTAGTTATAGAAAAAAAGAAAAGAGAAAAAAAAACATTGAAAACAAACCAGTTCCATCTGCCTGAACCACAAACATGCTGATTAAACCTTTCCTGAAAGAAAACAACAATGTTCCTGGTGAAAAAGCCACAGATGCTTGACACAGCTACTGAACACACTAAAACAAAAATGCTCTTGAAGATGCAGGTTATCATTGGCCAAAAACTATTACTCAGCATTCACAGATCCATGATTTATTTTTCAGAGACACATTTATTGTGTTTTCAACAACACAACATCGCACAGCAGGCCAAATCAGGCCAGTATGTGATCCTCTGCACAACCACTGCTGTTGTCTTTCAGCTATTTTCAACACTGGAAAACAGATCGTGATGTTCCATTAAATGGCTAACTCTCAATAGCTGCACGATGCCCACAAAGGTGAGCCACAGCTCCCTATGATAAAAGCTAGCGTGTTTGTGTTAACGTAACCCCGGATGGCTCCGCAATGAAACATGGCACTGAGAGGGAAGTGAACGCAAACAGCCATTAAGGGCTGTTTACCAAGACGCTCCTGTGGACTGAAGCCAATAATAGGCAAGTCCAAACTCAAGACGCCCAGACTCCAATTCATATGACAAATATCAATCTCATATATTACACAGACTGATGTACTTATTCAGAGTTTAAAAGGTATTTCAATTACTTTCTATTTTGTACAGTCTAGACCAGGCATGTGCAAACTCGGTCCTGGAGGGCCACTGTCCTGCAGAGTTTTGCTCCAACCCTGATAAAACTCGCCTGCCTATCGCCTTCTAGTAATCCATAGCTTGTTCAGGTGTGTTTGATTAGGGTTGGATATATATATATATATATATATATATATATATATATATATATATATATATATATATATATTTTTTTGTGTATTTTTA